ACTTCAGCTTTTTCCAAGCAGCCTCTAAAATAGATGGGATGTAACCTTTTGTGCTACCCTCTCTGTTTTCAGTTTAAGAGTATCATCATGTCCTGAAGCAAAATGTAATGAAACTTTCCTTTTTGAGTATTTCAGAATGATCTCATAAGGGAGAGGATGTGTTGTTAGATGCTGCCCAGCCTGTTCCACCTCCTAGCGACCCTGTGAACAACAAGTAAACACCCCCCCCCCCATCTGGGCCACCCTCCGGACTGTTCTCCTGTTTGAACCCCTTTTCGCATCCACTGCATCAAGACATCTTGTCCGGACCTCCCTCTTGTCCACCGCCCTTCTACTTCGCCAGGCAGAGCATCCTTTTCCAGAGCCTGCTATCTCCTGATAGCATTTCCAAAAGACAGAAGTTTCACCATTCTTGCTGCTAAGGAGCATCTGAGCTGTGCTTCTTCCAAGACAGATGGGTTTCACCAAGTTCAAATGCATCCATTTTTCTCTGGACTTCTTTATCCAACTTTCTCATGTAGCTGAGGTCATTGAAGATGCCAAGGCTTGGGGCAGGCACACCTTAGTCCTCAAAGTAACTCCCTTGCTTTTCAACACTTTAAAGAGGACTTGTAATGCAGATTTACCTAATGCAATACATCGCTTGATCTCTGGTTCTCATAAATACTAATTGATCAAATTTGGCAAACATACTAAACATTTAATTTATTAAAGACAGTGGACAACGCTTTACAACAGGGAAAAAGAATCTGTTTACCCACATGGAGCTTTTAATTTAAGCATGAGAACAGGGGATAGCATATAAAGTTTAATAACAATTTAACACAAATAATAATTTGGGATCCCTAAGGTGTCTGATGGACCCCCAACTCAATGTAAAGAAAACCCAAATCCTTACAACTTGGCCAACAGAGAACATTATGATAAATGGAGAAAAGAATGGAGATTGTTAAGGATTTCATTTTGCTTGGATCCAAAATCAGGGTTCATGGCGGCAGCAGTCAAGAAATCACACTCGGTATTGCATTGGACCAAGTGTATTGGATAGCAAGTCTGTAAAGTGTTGGAGAGCAAGTATGTCACTTTGAAGACTAAGATGCAACAAACCTAAAGTGCAGTATTTGTAAGTGCTTCATATGCATGTGCAAACTGGCCAGTGAATAAGGAAGACTGCAGGAGAGTTGTTGCATTTGACTTACAGTTACCTTGCAAGAAGTATAGTCAGAATACTGCTTAGAAACAAAGCTGGTGAGATTGCATCTTAGATACTCTGGACGTGTTATTCGGAGACACCAGTGCCTGGAAAAGGACATCATTCTTGGTAAAGTAGAAGATCAGCCAAAAAGAGGAAGACTCTCAAGAAGAGGCGCAGACACAGTGGCTGCAAAAATGGGCGCCAAGTACAATTGTGAGGCGAGCCCAGGACCAGGACCAGGCAGTGTTTCCATCTGTTGTGCACAGGGTTGCGATGGGTCGGAACCAACTCAACCGCACCTGACAACAACAACAGCCACAAAGGTATCTTAGTTTATGTTCTTGTTAGTGGCTGTTCAGTTGGTTCTAACTCATGACAACCCATGTAAGTTGAGAAGAAATGCCCCCTAAAGTTTTCTTGGCTGGAATGTTAACAGAAATGGATCAGCAGGTCTAGAGAGGCACCGTCAGGTGACTTGTGGAAACAGCAACGTTTAGGTTAGCTGTTCGAAGCAAACAGAAAAAATCTCATTCAAAACGAAAACACCAAATATTTAAAAGTTGAACAACTCTAAATGGATCAAAAGATAGATCAAATAATAAGGTATCACATTTTAACCTAACTACATCTTCCATAATCGACATTACAATGTTCTAGGCTTAAGAGCACATCCAGAAAATGATCACCAGGGATTCACCAGAAGCTTAAGCCTTGTACAGGATTTTGAGTTTCCTGCAAATGGATTTTGAGCTTCCACTGCCATTCAGAACTTCTGTAATTGGGTGTTCAGAATTTAAGCTCTGATACGGTTCCCTTCTTCAGATTTGGATTTTATCATTCATAATCCTTGGATCACACAGGCTTGTGTGCTTCTTCCATGTGGACTTAGCTGACACTTCACTTAGATAACTGCTTGTTTGAAGACAAGCCTTGAAGACTTCGACATATTCTTTCAAAGAGCTATAATATCCATACCTCCAGTGCTTTCTTCATGAGGATGAGGATCAAGCAGGGCCATGCTTGGTTCTTAGATTGGTGCTAGAATTAAGTGCTAGCCCAAGATCCATTCATATGTCTATGGTTTATATACATCTCTGGTTCCCTTGAGAGTCAGTATCATCTTATGATAGAGAACATTATGCATCATCCCCCTGGGTCATAGAGTAATTCCATTGATAGTGTCATTAATTTAGCCAGTGTGTGTACAATTTAAAACACAGGCCAGCTTTTCAGAACACAATACATGAATTTTTGTCTTGTCTCATTTAAATGCTTAAGTGACTGGACACTATTTACACAAACAATGGGTGTTGGTGATAGGGCAAAACTTTCCATAACACTCATTCATAAATTCAAAAACATGTCTACCAGACTGACACATGTCACCAGAAAGCAAGGAGAACTTTAAAATAGTAAACATATGGTAGTCTCAGGCCACTACTCATTGGACACTCTCAAAGCAAGTCTCCAACAAAAGTCCAATGACCACCAATTTCATAAGCTTGGGATAGCAGTCATTTGGTTGTTCTCACAGTGTGATGATTCAGCCATAAATCCAAGGGGGTATGTCAGTTCCTTAAAGTTGCTTCGTTCATTTGCTGGGTTACCACATGAATTAGGCCTCCAGTGGGTTCCCTTTGAGCTTAATCCAGGGATATGCACAGCCTTGCTATCAGAAAGCATTGTAAAGTCAACTATGGCAGATGTAGCTAGGTTAAAATATGACACCTTTGATCTCCCTTTTGGCTCATTTTAAAGTTGTCTCGGATTTTAATGTCTTCTACTTTCTCTTTATGTTTTCCTTATCTGTGTGTCAGGTTTGTTGTTTTGTTTGCTTCCTATTTATGCTAAATGTATATATATATATGAAACCTCAAATAGGCAAATCTATAGAGATAGCAATTGGATTAGTAACTACTTAGGGGCATGACTGGTGCAGTGGTTATGAGTTGGCTTGTGATCCTCGTGGTTGGCAGTTCGAAAGTACCACCAGCTCTTCAGGTGAAAGCCTGGGCTTTTTACTCCTGTAAACAGTTACAGTCTCAGAAATCTACAAGGTACTGCTATGAGTCAGCATTGATTTGATGGCAGTGAGTTTGGTTTGGTTTGGTTTGAGGGGCATGGCCAGGAGATGGAATGGAAATGAGCTAACAATAATGAGTATGAGAAGAAAATGTTCTGAAATTGATTGTGGTGATGATTACACAACATCTTCTTAATGTGATCAAATGATTAAACTATTTATTTAAATGAGAGATAAAAATAGGAAAAAATATGACACCTGAGTGCATCAAAAGACTTCATCAAAAGAACAAAAAGAGAACTCACAGACTGGGGGGAAAAAGCCTTCAGCATTGGCTTAAGAAATAATAGACCAACAGCTGAAATCTATAGTAAACTGCATTCATACACTGCTGGTGGGTCTGTATTCACTGCCCTGGAGTCGATGCTGACTCCTAGAGATCCCCTGCAGGTTTCCAAAACTGTAACTGTTTACGGGAGTAGAAAGCCCGGGCTTTCTCTCGCAGAGCTGCTGACGGTTTTGAACTGCCAACCAGGCTGATCATGGCCCAACACATATCCACTACACCATCAGGACTCCATCGTGGGTCTGTAAATATGTATAACCATTGTGAAAAGCAATATGGCCCCATCTCAAACAACTGGAAGTACAAATATCGTACCCTAAACCAGTATGAGCCATAACACGAACCGACGTGCATGTCCATGTTCATCGCATCACCCTTTACCGTAACAAAAAGTTGGAAACAGCCCACGTGCCCATCAGAGTTGATACGGAACTTTGGTACATGCACCAGTGCACTATTTTCTCATCCAGCATCGAGTCTGTTCCAACTCATAGCAACCCTGCAGTACCTAGTAGAGCTGCTCCTGTGGGATTTCATGACGGAGACTCTTTACAGGAGTAAAAAGTGCCGTCTTTCTCCCACTGAGCAGTTCACGGCTCAATGCAGAACCCCCACTTCATCAGCGTTCCTGGGAGTAGAATGTTGTGCATCCCCAAACAACACTTCGTGACATAGATGGACCTGGAGAACATTATCCCGAGTAAAGTTTATCAGTCGCAAAGGGGAAATATGATCTCAGACTGCTACTCTAAGAACATAAACTAAGAGGAAACGTTGCATACCAAAGCACCAGAGCTCATTGGTTCCCAAGGGAAGGCAAGGGAGGGTGGAACATGCAACAATGGACTGGAAGGTTTGACAGGCATTGCCTTGGGTGGCAGGGAGCATAGAGTGCCCTACGTGGGAGAAGAAAAATTCGGGATGGAGAGTGGGGTAGAATACTGGATGGGAGGTTGATGAATGATTTGAACTTTGAATGCAGAATTGATTCACAATAAAAAAAATTCACCCCCTACCCCCCCCAAAAAAGCACATACACATAAAAAATAATAATAAATAATGAACTAATTCTGGCAACAGCCTTATCATGCAGACAATGATTCTTTTCTAACACATGGAACCATTTGCAAAATCCCAGTGGTCAGTGATGTAGCTGTGTTTCCACTTGAGTGTGCCCCGGGAGTTCTTTGGGATCCTGTCAAAATGCAGATTCTGAATCAGAATCGGAAGGATGTCTGAGAGTCTGTGAAGTTGACGCTGTTGGTCTATGCTCCTTGAGCAGTACAGTTGTGAAGAGTGTGACACTTCATATCCTTAAAGGATATGCTTCAAACCCTCAATGCCCTGTTTATAAAAAAATTACTGGAATATTACTAGAATATTCTATATGTTCTTTGTACTTAGTTCTCACCCAAATCTATCCCCATTGCCTTTAGCACGAAAGCAAGAGATTATCAAAGTCACTGAGCAACTGATTGAAGCAATCAACAATGGAGACTTTGAAGCTTACACGTAAGTATCATCTGCACATTTACTTTGCCTTGATGAACATGACCAATGTATTGTCCATATGAATGCCTTCTTCAAAGTAAGCTGAAGTCATGTTGTTTAATGTTTATCTATGTTTAATCTCAGATTTGATATGTCAACGAAGGGTTTATTTCAAAGTAGTAATGACTGGCTATCTCCCAGGAGAGAAATGCATTTATTTGAAATGTCAGAGAAAGAAGACATTACATCTGACTCAAAGATCAGAGGTATCTTTGTAAGTGCCCAGAAGAGTCATGGCCAGCCTTTCCATATACCATTGAAGGAAAAGGAGTCCTGGTCGAGCAGTGGTTCTCAACCAGCCTAATGCTGTGACCCTGTAATACAGTCCCTCATGTTGTGGTGACCTCCAACCATAACATTATTTCGTTGCTATTTCATAACTTTAATTTTGCTACTGTTAAGAATCAGGCAACCATTCCAGGATGCACACCTTCCTGACACAATTGCTGAATAAAAATGTGAGCATAAGCAAATGTGGTGAAGAAAGCTGATGGTGCCCGGCTACCAAAAGATATA